CTATGCTCGCTATATAATTATGTAGAACCATGACATTATTTAAAGAGTTAATTATGATTATCCAAGTGAGTTTGAATAAAACGTAATGCAAGTCAAATTGATGCATATATGAGAAGCTTTGTAAAAGACCTAGGACAAAAAGAAAAGTTAAGTTCATGGCTCCCATTTAATTATTCCATGAATTTGTAAATTAGTGCCGACTTAATTAATCACACTAATTATTTTGTTACCATGGAGCAAGAAATATTGTAGGACGGATTGGGGATTTACTGGTGGGCAATGTCCATCCATGGCTCCTCCCTTCCTCAAAACACACAAACAATAGTATCTAGGTTTTTGGTATTTGGTGTTGTTTATATGTTCTTGTGTTGGTGAACATGATAAAAACATTGAACCAAATTACTCTTTGGCACAGATTCTACACATCCTAATGCAACTGCTTGACCAATTTACTTCAGAATTGTTTTTCTCATCTGAAACTGAAAGCTTAATGAAAGCAATGAGTGCCTGGAAGAGACTAATGATGCTGCATTTCTGATTATTAGTTTTAATGTCTATTTTACTATTACTACATCAATAAAATAATTTTGTGCAACTCGCTGTAATGTTGGCACAACTGGTCTCAATTTTTGTTAACTTCAGTGTAAACTAAAATAATGGTCAAAGTCATGATTGCATGTTGTACAGATGAAACGAAAGGATACAAACATCGGAAAAGTATATGATGCACGTGCATTAAGAGTAGTTGTAGGAGACAAAAATGGAACTTTACACGGACCTGCAGTTCAGTGTTGCTATAATCTTCTTGACATTGTACACAGGTAAAAGAAGGTCAAGTTTTAGTTATCTATCAATCATATAATCTATACGCAAATAAGTCAATCCATACAATAATTTGTATGAAGATATAGATTTAAAATTAATTTGCCTTTTTGCAGTGTTATGTATCGGTAGAACTTTTTCTAATTTTAAGGGAATAACTCTATAGAAGAAAGCCTTTTAAGAAAGAAAATAAGGGGAAAAAACGTACCAACTCCAACTATTTTCTTTTATATTTTCCATTATTTTTTTCCTTTTCAAATACTTTGGACTGTCTGTTATGTGGTATATAAATGTGTGTGCTCATAATTGTCCTCAATCTATAGTGGAAGTTTAGATCTGTATATCTTATTTACTTCAGGTGTACCCTATTGTTGGTTCCAAATATTGAGTCATACTATTATGTATATTTTACCGTATAGGCTTTGGACACCGATAGATGGTGAATTTGATGACTACATCCTTAATCCCAAGCCTAGTGGCTATCAGGTTAGACTTTCTGTTTTTAATGAAATAAATTTAAAACGATTATTTTGTTATTTGAATCTTAGGATTGTGCTTATTTCTGTCTTAACTTGCTAAATTTGCAGTCCTTGCACACTGCAGTCGAAGGTCCTGATAACTCACCTTTAGAAGTACAAATAAGAACACAGGTGCTAGATTCTAACTCACATGCTTCAGAGATTGCTTTGTTTGTAGTTTAGTTGCTAATTTCCAGTTATCGTTCGGCTTACCAGAGGATGCATGATAATGCTGAACATGGACTTGCTGCACATTGGCTTTATAAAGAAAATGGAAATCCTTTTTCATCCGTAGATGGAATGGATACTCCGGTAACAGATGCATCCTCCTATTTTAGCAAAGGTATAGAAGAGGAAAATTCTTCAGATATTTTATTGAACGAGTATAAGTCACTGAAGGCTGGACATCCAGTCCTTAGAGTAGAAGGAAGTCACCTACTTGCTGCTGTTATCATCGGGTATACAACACTTCCATTTCTAATGGATGTTATGTTATAAAGCTATCCACATTGACCATAGCTCTTCTTTGTTACCTTTTTCAGTGTAGAAAATGAAGAAAGAGAATTGCTAGTTGCTGTAAGCTTTGGGCTAGCAGCTTCTGAAGCAGTAGCTGACAGAAGATCTTTTTTCCAGAATAAGCGATGGGAAGTTTATGCACGGCTATACAAAAAGGTTTGCTGATTAGCTTAAACAATTGTTGATATTGATTTTGAATATAGATTGCTCGTGATGAATGGTTTGTGGACAATGAAACAATTACACTTACTGAGAAGACAGTAATTAGAATGGATCATTATGGGGTATAGTTAAGTTTACTGATAAGCTTCCTACATGCTGCATTGTCCTCTAGGACACCAGTACAATCTCTTCTGTTGTGTCATCATTTCTTTTTTGTTTTATTTTATTTTACATAACCTTGTCAATTTACTTACTGGTGACTTGCTCCAGGTGTCTGATAAATGGTGGTTTGAACCAGGACATGGGGATTGGTGTACTTGTCTAGAGAAGTACACGCTATGTCAAGATGGTATGTATCACAAGGTATGTTTTTCCGAGTAGTAAAGCATTTAAAAATTGCACTCTTCCCTTTTTTCATTATTTTTGTTACCCTGCAATTAAAAGACAGTGGCATACTTACACTGTAAAGCTTTAATTTTATTTTCCTTGTTTAGTTATGCACATTTGTCCTACCCCACTGTCCTTATTCTAGTTCAATTAATCAAAGTTGTGTTAGAAATGTATGTGCTGCTTAGTAGTTACTACAAACAAAATATTTAGACTGCCTTTTGCTGAGTCAATTTTTGAAGGCTTAAAGTTGACTATTTAACCCTGAATTCACCGTATTGATTTGACTTATAGATTTTCTTGCTCTCTACTTCTCAGTAATGGACATTTTTTTTGGCATGTCAAATGAAATTAATTTGTATATTTATTAAATCCGTAGGTGACGTCACGGAATATCTTTGGTTCACAAACTAATAGTGTTTTTACACTATTAGTTTTGGCAATGAATCAAAATTAACTTTAAAATAAACAGTAAATGATATACTTGGACATGTACAATTAATACAAACAAATAACGTTGAATGTTTTTTTTAGTTACTGATTTGCTTTTTCTTAGATCTAAAGGGGTTTGTAAATAATTGGACTGCTTTACTAAAGAAGTTCATATATATAAATATTTGCATCTTTTGCAGCAAGACCAATTTGGGCGCCTGCTGCCAACATTTATTCAGCTTATCAATTTTACTGAGCAAGAAGAATCTGAATACTGGGCTGTTGTATCTGCTGTTTTTGAGGGCAAGCAAGTGGATAGTATTGCATCCCAGTCAAAGTTTGACTTGATTCCATCAACTTCTGTAGATGCTAACATCAATAATAAGGTTTTTAGCTTACCAACTTATGTTTCTTATGCACGTTCTCCGAATGAAATTTGCCTATCATTGCCCTCATCTGTTTATTGTATTGTTGGATTATAAAATTGCCAATCAAATTCGTAACTTCATCCTATGTAACTGGTTATAGTCGAACCATGAGAATATCTTTATTCTCATCCTTCTTCTCTCTTATATTGGCCAGAGAGTTCTAGACCAAGTAGGCCAAAGTTTGACCTTCCAACATCAAACTATATTAGTATTATGCATTCACTATTTATATTTTTGATAATGATTAGAAAGTTTTGAAATGTAAATGCAACTGTGATGGTAGAAATCGGGTTGTCTAATATCACTATGCATAATTAGCTAGAATGTAGATATAAATGAACAGTTTCTCTCTGCTTCCGTGCAAATTGAAAGTTGACATGTTTAAAAAACGTTGATGAATGTTTCACTTATTCTATATATTAATCTTTTAGGTGCATCTTTTGAGAACAATGCTTTCCTGGGAAGAGCAATTGCGGTCTGAAGTTAGTATCAGCCAAGCAAAGCATGATGCAAAGTTTGATGATGCTCGGGGTCCTCTTAACCTTGGTGAAGTGGTAATTATATGTTGGCCTCATGGTGAAATTATGAGGTTAAAAGCTGGTAGCAGTGCTGTTGATGCTGCACAAAGAACTGGTTTGGAGGGGAAGCTAGTTTTGATCAACGGACATTTAGTATTACCTAATACAAAACTCAAAGATGGCGATGTTGTTGAAGTAAGAATCTAAAACATTTGTTTGCGATTAAAAAGGTGCTGATGTAAATAATTGTTCATAGGTTGAATGCAGTTAAATTAGACGGGGCAGAAATTTGCAGATTTCAAAAAATTGAGGGCTGGGATTCTTGATAGAATGGTGTACCGTTTTGTAAAGGGTTGGGATTCTTGATAGAATGATGTACCCTTTTGTAAAGGGTTGGGATTCTTGATAGAATAATGTACCGTTTTACAAATTTAAAATGTAATGTAATCCCAATAATATGCTAGTATTTGTACGTATTTCCTTTTAATTTAACATGTAATTATTTACTATAATGATGAAGATTTGAAATTGTATTATAATTTATAACTAATAAGTTCCACAGTCCTCTTATAAACCATCATACAGTAGTAGTTAGAGACACTCGTTTGCAGAGTTTTAGGTTGAATCCATGACCAAAAAAAAAAACTTACAACTCTCATTTTAGGCATATTGGCTCTTCTCGTAGTCAAAAACAAAACTCAATAGACAATAATAATGTTGTTAATAACTAAATTGATGGTAATTAGTTAAATGTATCGCAGTCAAAAACAAAACTCAATAGACTGTATAATTTTAATATAATGTTATGAATGTCTAAATTGATGGTAATAGTTATATTTGTTGGCTCCTTTCCTAGTCCGAAACAAAACTCAATTGAGACAATAATAGTGTTGTTAATGACTAAATTGATGGTAATCAATTAAATATATAGGCAATTGACAATTAACAGAGTCGACATATTTTCTGAAATATTCATAATTTCAAATTTAAATGTCATCATCTTACAAAATTAGATACCACTATTCTTTGTGGATGATTAGTCATTACTATATTTTACTGTATTAAGAACTTGTCAGAGCATCTACATTTCAAAAATAAATAAAATGATAAAAATTGCTTTACATAAATATTCTGTTGAGTATAATTGTAAGATAATCATCATAAAATTCTTAGAATAATCAAGAAAGGAATGCCCAAAGGATGGATTATTACTAATATCATAATCCAACTTTTCTTGAATCAAGTTTATCTCCATGTAGTGTGACTTTCCAGCAATCAACTTGGAGTCTAAATACAGAACCCTTCTTCGGAACAACTGCAATTAACAAATCAAAGTATTTGGTGAACACATGATAGACGAAAGAGAGATACCATTACAGATAAATCATCAAAATCTCATCTAATTTGAGATGCTCAAGGTTCCTAATTCTTAATCAACTCATCTACAATATTGTAGCAGTCACAGACAAACTTATTAACAACTCTCAGTACAAGAAAGTTGAAATCTATTTATTTATTGAAGTAAAAGTGGAAATTTGTCTTCAAACAGAATTTCACTCAAATACACCCCAAGAATTTTAATTGACTATTGAAAGAGAAAATGAGTTTTGAACTAAACTAAAACTTTGGAGCATTCTACTGCATAAAAAGCTACAACTCATCATGGAAATGTAAATTAGAAACAAGTATGAGATTATTCGCTAAAACAAATTCAGATTTTACAAAATCTATTATATGTACTTATGTAGCAAATATGGTTTCTATAGAATACAACAGATATATAACTTAAAGGGATAATCTAACAATGCCGAACAAGAATCTCAGCCAAATTGCATTTCATAAGAACAAATATCATATCGGGTTGTCATAGAATACATTTTAAGTTAAGCAAAACAGAAAATTTTCAAACTTATAAGTTGTATTTTTATTTGTTAACAAAGTCAATTTTAAAAATAACAGAACAAATTGACTGTTTGTTATTAGTCTCTTTAATCTAACAATAATTCAAAAACAATCATGGTTCAAGTTTTGCAAAACTTTCAAAATGGAAGTGCAAACTCCTAATAATTAATTAATTATCACATTTGCACAGAAATCACTGATAAGATTTAAGAAAAGCAAACTCCTAATAATTAATTAATTATCACATTTGCACAGAAATCACTGATAAGATTTAAGAAAAGCAAACACAAACAACTGTGTATATTCATATAAGCATTAATAGTTGAGATATACAGGAAGAACAACTCTGATAATGCCAGAACAGATTCTACTTCTAAATAGATAAAAGAATACCTCGAAATTTATTATTTTCAGTAATTATCCCAAAAGCTTCTGCAGTTTCACGAATCATTATGCCACCGGTTCCAGTAAAATGGGTTAGTTTACACTCCACAACTACAAAACATAAATGTACATAGTGTGAAATACTACTCCACAACATCACTAACACTTTCTAAGATGATTAAAAATAGGCTTTGCCGGTTCAAGTATAGCAGCAGTAACAATTTTAACACAACTTTCGATGAATATGAAATAATTACACATCACAACATACGTATATGTAGGGAAATAATTAACATCTAATCAATGGCAAGATAATTTCCTTGTGATGCGTAGTAATACGTTAGCAAAATATAGAGAATGGTTTAGCATTTTCTTGTGTAGATGTTCACAACTCATCCAATAGCAAAAAAGAAAAAGAGTATGCACAAACCTAAAATAATAGCACCGTGTAGATCTGCACCGAGGAGACATTGAGCCAATTGATTTTTCCTGGAACATTAAACAGGTTTGTTGTCATAAAAGCCATGAGAGACGAAAAGTGGTAGAAAATCTCAAGATAAAAAGCTGTAAAATTCATCAAGAGCAAATATACAAAAACAATACCCAGTGGATTTAAGCAACAGCATTATATAGTCTTTCCACATTTCATGCATTGGCTTGAAAATATCAAATCTGTAATCAAAATGAATGGTGATTAGGGAACAAAAAGAATATCACTTGTTCACAGCTTGAATCTAAGAGCTCCCCAATGAAAGAGGAAATGAAAATTACTCAGAACAATACACTACCACAAACTGCAGGGCTATAGCAACAATGGTAAGGCTCAACATATTCATCAAGAATAGAAGTTTAGGGACTTTAAACTTACTTATGGAACTCTCGAGGAAGATTGAATGATCCGTGTTTTTTATGTTGTTTCATGGACAAGTGCTTCTTAGAACGTTTTGAATGAATTTGCAAAGCTCTAGTTTGAGAAGATGAAGAAAATGCACGTCCTTGTACATAATTATCAAGAAGAATCCAGTTGTCGATTTTCATACTCCTAGATCCTTGCATATACTTTTGGGCTGCATCTCCCTTCTTAAGAAGTTCATGCAATATTCCTGAAACTGAACATCCTCTTTCAAAAGAAGACTGCAGAATATAAGTCAAATTAGAACAAACCAGAAAAATATAATCTTTGACATCAAAGGATAAAGAAATTCAACTATTTTTTTAGTTATGGAAAAATATACATCTTTCAAATTGAAGATTAAGAAACTATAACATTTTGGTTAGATTGGGAGCTAAGACGTTTACACTGACAGAACCTTGAATGTAGCTTTCCATGCTCATGATTCGTAAATAGGTTAAAGGGTTGCTTTTGAGATCAATAAATTACTCATTCCATTAATTATTTTTTAGTCCAAAGGAGGTTGACTTTATGAAATTATGAAAAAGAGAAGTTGATCATGAAATGCTGAAAATAAAGTACCTCCCGCTTAGTTGTGAGCAGATTATCATCTACAGTCACAGAAAGTTGGGCATATTCCGGACCATCTTCATTGTCTGCATATCAATAGTTAAGGCATTTATCCACTCAAAACCTTCAACTTCAAACATCATGATAAAAAAAAAGAAAGAAGAATCTTAGTGTTACATAGAAAGTACACTACCTTGTGAAATGGCACGACCAAAAAGACTGAAATTCGCTAAAAAGGAAAACAAAAAAATGATTAGTTTACAGTAGAATCATTTATACATAAGCTTATTTATTACAAATACTGAATAAGTCTCTAATTAAGTTTGATAGAGTTTGATAAAGTGAAAAGAGAATGAGTAGATTGTAAATCTCATATTGTATTGAATGAATTGAATAATACAAGGGACTAGCTATTTATAGAGAGAGTAAGCGATAGACTAGATCTAACAAACTAACGGAATACTGTAACAGAACGACAGCTCAGAACGATCTATCTAACAAACTGATACAATATGCTAACTACTCTATTAGTCCCCCGTAGAAGCTGATGGTGATTTGAACAAGTCAGTCTTGTTGAACACCTTCAGTTTTGCTCTGAGAAGAACAAATTTTACAGCAGAAAGAGGTTTTGTTAGAATGTCTGCCCACTGGTCTTGAGCTGGGACATGAACCACAGACAAACTTTTGCTGAGGACTTTTTCACGCACAAAGAAGATGTCAAGCTCCATATGTTCAGTTCTATTGTGGAGAACAGGATTGTGGGCAAGAGTAACAGTGCTTAAGTTGTCACACAGGATCTTAGGCACTTGAAAAGAACAGTGGAGTTCCTTAAGTAAGGAATGTATCCATATTAATTCGGCAGCTAACTGAGCCATACTCCGGTACTCTGCCTCAGCACTTGATCTTGCTACAAGTTGCTGCTTCTTGGACCACCATGAGACAACATTTGGACCAAGAAAAACACATGCCCCTGAAGTTGACCTTCTGTCATCTGGGTTTGTGGCCCAGTCAGCATCACAAAAACCTAGCAACTGCATAGGTTGCTGAATAGCAGCAGGTTGCAGAAGCAAACCATGCTGAAGAGTGCCACTCAAATACCGTACTATTCGCTTGACTGCCTTCCAATGTTCCTCTAAGGGATTGGACAAAAACTGACACACTTTATTAACAGAGAATGATATTTCAGGCCTGGTCAGTGTGGCATACTGCAAGGCACCAACAACTGATCCATGGTTCGTGTCTGTCTTCTCATGATGCCTCTGTCTGTTATTATCGTTACTCTAACGCTAGTGGAGCTGCGTACACATCTCAGAGGGTTCCGTTCAATCCTTTTCTCATGCCACCTCGCTCCACGTATTCATCTCAGTTTGGCTATTCTGCTCCCAAAGGTGCACCTCCTAGACCTTCAGCACCTCAAACCTTCTATGCAGGTACTGAAGCTAATTTCAGTAATCAATGGTGGTATCCGGATTCAGGTGCGTCTCATCATGTTACTCCTGAGGCCTCTAATTTGACTGATTATGTTTCATTGTCTGGCACTGAGCAAGTCTTCATGGGAAATGGCCAAGGTTTGTCAATCAATTCTGTTGGTTCCATGTCCTTTCCCTTACCAAACAATCATACCCTATCCCTTACTCTTAGGGATCTTTTACTTGTTCCTCATATTACTAAAAACTTGATGAGTGTGAGCAAGTTTGCTCTAGATAACAATGTTTTCTTTGAATTTCACCCAAAATTTTGTGTTGTAAAATCTCAGGCTTCATCTGAAGTATTACTGCGTGGGTCAGTTGGAAGTGATGGCCTCTACAAATTTCCAAATCCTGCCACTCAACTGTCAAAGTTCTCTTCAAGTTCAATTTTCAGGTCTGCTCAATCTGTCTCTAAGACTAAGTGTAGTGCTAGCTGTAATGTCTCATGTTCTTCTGTAGCACCCACTAATCATGTTTCCAACTGTTTGTCAAATTGTATCTCTCAATGTATTACTCCTTGTAATTTTGATCAATACAATAATAATACTATGAGCATTTTTTCCAATTCTCCTTCCCCTAATTCTACTACATACAGCACTGAGTTAACTTCTTCTCATTCTAATAGTTCATCATCTATAGCCAATGATAAATATGTTTTATGGCACACTAGGTTAGGGCACCCTAATCACCATGCTCTTGTAGAAGTTTTTAAACTATGCAATCTCCCTATTCTTCCTAAACCATCTACCGAGTTGTGTCATGCTTGCTGTCTAGGAAAATCACATAGGTTACCCTCTACCTTATCTACCACTGTGTATACTCATCCTTTTGAGCTTGTTGTTTGTGATCTTTGGGGTCCTGCCCCTATGAAGTCTACAGGAGGATATACATATTTTTTTAACTTGTGTAGATGCCTTTTCTAGGTTTGTTTGGGTCTTCCCTCTAAGACTCAAGTCTGATACTTTAACTCAGTTCATTCAGTTTAAGAAAATGGTGGAACTGCAGTTTAATTGTCTCATCAAATGTGTTCAAAGTGATGGGCGTGGAGAATTCATGCCATTTACCAAGTATCTTACAGAATTGGGTATTGTTCATAAGTTTACTTGTCCTCACACACATCATCAAAATGGTCTAGTTGAACGCAAACATAGGCTCTGATATCATGATAGAGTTTGATAAAGTGAAGAGAGAATGAGTAGATTGTAAATCTCATATTGTATTGAATGAATTGAATAATACAAGGGACTCTCTATTTATAGAGAGAGTAAGCAATAGACTAAATCTAACAAACTAACTGAATGCGGTAACAGAATGATAGCTCAGCAAGATCTATCTAACAAACTGATACAATATGCTATCTACTCTATTAAAGTTGTATATCCAAATATCTCCTAAGTATATTATGTATGGTACTAAAGAAAAATATAAATATTTGGGCAAATCATTCTACTATATAGTTTATACCAAAATATTAAGGAAAAAACACAAACAAAAGAAAGTTGAACTACCTTTGTTGGGTGGATCCGATGATGGACGAGAAGCATGGGAGGAAGAATCAATAGGAGTAGAAGGTGCAAGAATAGGTGATTTAACATGTTCAATTTTAGCCTTTTTGTTAGTTGATTTGACATGTTCAACTTTTGTCTTTTGGTTTTTGTTTTCTTCAAGTATATGTTCGGTTTGAATTCTTCTCTCCAAAGCCTCCAATGTACGTTTTCTTGAATCAGAAGCCATTGATACTTACCTTCATACCAGAAGAGACCAAAATATAATAGGTCATAAAAAAACTGGCAAATTCAATGCTTCAAATTTGTTAGAAAACAGCTGAATTTCAACCTGAAACACAACCTTAATTATGTTGTTTATAAATCGCTCTAATTTTAACTCCCTTTTAACCTTCTTAATCTGAATCAATTTTAAGCAGAATCAATTTTTTAGAAATCAATTATCATGACGGTAGAACGAATGAGACAAAACCGATTTTGGAACAGTAATTGAGGGATGAAGAACGAACAGAGAGATTAAACTTACAATATAAAGTGTTCACTGGCTGCGACACAGATGAACGGCGGAGAGAGAGGGAGAAGGGGCTGCGCGGGACAGAAGAGTGTAGGGTTTAAAGCAGATTTTTAGTTTCTATACTTTCAAATTTTAAAACAAATTTGTTCATATTTTGTTCTAATTTTAATGTCAATTAAAATTGAATATTACCGTTCAATTTAGTTTTTTTTTAATGAATTAACTTTTCAATCTAGTATTGTTGCACATATTATCATGTCAATATATGTATATCACCCAATTACGTGGAGTCAAATTCAATTTATGTATGATTAGAGTATTTTCATTTTTTATTTATTACAAATCAAATCAACAAATTTATCATTATTTTTTTCTTTTCGAAAATTATGCCTACCAAATATGACTTTCGTTGATTATATAACCAATAATAATAAAAGATAAAATGTGGAGATTTAAGATTTAAGATTAAAAATGTGAATAATTCCTAACTACGCCCAAGATATTTCAGCTTTAAATTTTGACTTTAATGAGCCATGAAAATTTAATTTTTCTAAATTTTTTATGATTAAAAAAAGGTAATGTTAATTTGTGCCCTAGAGGCACATGTTAAGAACTAAATGTAGAAATATTTTTTTGAAACTTGTGTACTGTTTTTATCAAAAGTTTATAATTAATTCTTTTATTATTTTTTTCAATACAAAATTTCTATTTATGAATTTCTTAACATGTGCCCTTAGGGCACAAGTTAGTATTACCCTTAAAAAAAACTAGTTTAATACCTCTTTTAATTCTTTAACATTAGTCATTGTTTCGCTTTGGTCCTTTAAGAAAAAAATGTTAGATTATGGTCCATTAATATATTAGTCCTTTTTGTTAGTTTTAGTTGGAAAAATGTTAGAAATTGTCCTACTGAACTTTAAATGGCTTAGGTGGATATTATGTAATTACTTTAATGGATGAGGGAGATTTTGTATTACACTTGACATTCATTTTAAGGAGATGAAACATATTAGGGCATGCTTACATTGTTGGATGAAAGCTCAGGTTCAGAGAGCATCTACATTGTGAACAACAACACTTGTTTGAAGACGAAGTTCATTGAAGACGACGATAACGACGTTTACCACAAAAACCCTCCATTGAAGACGATGATAGCGACGCTTACGACAAAAACCCTCTATTGAAGAAAAACGAAGAAGAAGAACTTCATTATTTTATTCGTCTGCAGAAAAAAAAAAACCTAAGGTACGAACTTGCACAAATACGAGTCAAAAAATGTTAACTTTCTTATATACCTAACTTACTTAGTACTTCTGATACTATATGTAGGTTGATTAGGTCATGGAGAGCAAGTTTAAGTGTGTTGTTCATCATTCTGGTGAATTTTCTAGGGAATTTGCAAATTTTACCAAGTCAGATTATGTAGGGTTAGAGGAGATATGAGATGTTGATCCTGATTACTGGAGTTACTTTGAAATATTGGACAAATTAAGAAAGTTGGGTTACCCTACTGTAGATAGGCTTTGGTATTATGATGACATGATTGCTAATGATATAGTTCAGTTATAAAATGATGACGGGACTGATAGGATGAGAATAATTGCAGTGGTAACTGGGGGATGCCACTTGAATGTTACGCATCCTATATCTGAACTGATGTTATTGAGGAGTTCATACTGTCACTACCAGATGTGAGTATATTGGCTGAAGATATGTGTGATGAAAGGCCTGATATGGTTAATAATCAAGATGGTACCACAGTGGCTGAAGATGTGGTTGGTGAAGTATATGAAAGGGGAGTAATGAAGGTGGGACCACACTGGGTGAAGATGTGGTGAAAGAGGAGACAAAAGTTGATGAAGTTGAGGAGAATGTTGGGATTAAAGAGAATGTTGGAGTTGAGGAAAATATGGGTCATGTGGGGACCAACTATGAAATTGAGGAGAATGTGGGTCAATAGGAGACAAACTGTAACAATAGGGACAATGTGTATATCACTTGTGAAATGGAGGAGAATGTGGATATAGAAGTGAATGTTGGAGCAGATGAAATCAATGAAGGACTGAATTGTAACCAAGAACAAGATGAGGTAGTTAACTGTAACCAAGAAGATGAAAGTGATGACAGTGCTTTGAATGTTAATTTTGAAGACTCAAAGAATAATATAGGTATTGATGGAGAGATATCAATTGATGTGGATGAAGGGAACGCAACAAGTAAGGAGAAGGGAAAAGGCAATGGGAAAGGCAATGGGGAAGGTAAGGGGAAAGGGGATGGGAAAGGTAAAGGGAAAAGGAAGGGAAGGGGAAAGGAAAGAAAAGGTCATTGTTAGGGATGTAGGTGCTGATAATGATGGTGGGGTAAATTTGAAATTTTTGAGAAGTTTAAGTGACATTGAGGAGTATGACGGTGATAAAATGCCTACTGAGTATGACAGTAAGAATGATGAGGTTGTAAAGGATGATTTTGTAATCTTTAAGCTTCCAAAAAGAATGGAAGACTACAAATGGGAACTTGGTACATATTTTTCTAAAAATGGGGTGTTTCAAGAGGCCATGAGATTATATGTCATTCATTCAAGAAGGAACTTGAAATTTACAAAAAATGATAAGGCAAGAATGAGAGTTAAATGTAAGGCAGGTTGCCCATGGGAGGCTTACTATGCAAATATAAAAGGTGAGGAGACTTGGCAATTGAGTACAGTTGTGAACAAGCATGCATGTAGTAGGGATTATAAGATTAGGTTTCTCAATTCAAAATGGTTGGGCAAGAAGATTTAAATAAGTGTTGGAGAGAATCCAACTTTGAAGTTAACTGATATTATGGAAAAGACACATGAAAAATATAATGTTGGGATTAACAAGACATTGGCATATAGAGCTAAAACACTAGTTGTTGATATTGTAGATAGTTCTTTTAGAGAGTAGTATAGAATAATCCATGATTATAGTCATGAACTTTTGAGGGCAAACCCAGGATCAAATGTGAAGATTACAAGTCAGTCACCAGTTCAAGGAGAAAGCAGTGAAAACTCTACTCAATTGAATCCTCGCTTTCAGAGGATGTACATATGTCTCAAAGCTTGCAAGGACAGTTTTTTCAAATGCAGACCTATTATAGGATTAGATGGTTGTTTCTTAAAGGAATACTATGGAGGACAAATACTAGCTGTTATTGATACCTGATCTGGGAGGAGTCAGGTTGTGCAGAACCTATACCTTCGTTAGTGATCAACAAAAGGTTTTAAACTCTCACCTTAAAATTTAATTATTAGCCAACTTTTTTATTTTCACCATCATTCTTACTTATTTATGGATGTAGGATTCACTGATAACTCTTGATGAATTGCTTGGTAATGTTAACCAGAGATTTTGTGTTAGGTATTATGTTTACTTACATGTTGAATACGACATACTTAGTTCTTCTGACATACTTGGTTGACCTAGTTGATTTACACTTACTTTACATTGCAGACATTTGTATAGTAACTTCAAGAAAAAGTTCTCTGGCCTGAAATTAAAGGAATTAATATGGAGGGTTGCATGTGCAAGTTATGTTAATGCTTGGGAGAAAATAATGCTTGGAATAAAAGGAGTTAATGAAGAGGCCTTCAAACACCTCATCAAAATTACACCAAGATTCTGGAGCAAATCAAGGTTCCAACAAAGTTCAAGTTGTGACACTTTGGTTAACAATATGTCAGAGGCCTTCAATTATGTATTTGTAGTTGGTAGATCCAAGCCCATTATGACAATGCTAGAAGAAATTAGAGTATACCTAATGCAGAGATGGGAATCCAACAAGCAAAAAATTACCAAATACGACGACATCATACAACCTAACATCAAGAAGAGGACATAAAGGGAGTCACAGAAAACCAATCATTGGATTGTGAGGTAACATGGTTGGTTTGTTGAACATTACTTTCAAATGGCTAACTGTTTACATAGACTAACGTTAAAATGGTTACTTGTTTACATGCGTGCAGGTGAATATGACTATGAGGTGAGGCATACTTCACTCAATGGAGAAAATATGTTGTCAACCCTTACAAGAAAGAATGTTGATGTAGACTATGGATGATGACTAGACTTTATTGCTGTCATGCAATGTCTTGCATGAGAGATTAACATTTGGAGATTGATGCCTTTGTACCAGACTGTTACAAGAAGGAACAATATGTTGCTTGTTATGCACATGTGATATATCCACTTAATAGGGAAACCTTGTGGGCAAAGACTAGTGTTATTGATCTTCATCCACCACCAATAAAGAGGCAGCCTGGAAGGCCAAAGGAAAAAAGGAATATGGAAGTTGGAGAGACAATAAGGGATGAGACACACATGAAGAGAGCAAGACATGGTATAAAGTGTAGTCGTTGCCACAAGGATGGTCACAACAACACCACTTGTAAACTACCACAACCACAAGAACCAACAAGTCAGCCATTATCACAAGCTGATTCAAGTCAAGTACAAGATGTAACAAGTCAGCAACCATCACAAGTTGTTACAAGTCAACCACCACCACCTGTTACAACAAGTCAGCCACCATTGCAAGTTGTTACAAGTCAACCACCACCACCTGTTGTTACAAGTCAACCACCACCACAAGCTGTTACAAGTCAGCCACCACTACCTGTTGTTACAAGTCAGCCACCACCTAAAACTAAGAAAAAACTTCATAAGGGTGGCAAGCCTGTTTCAAGACAACCA